AGACTAGATGCATTGAAGCCTTTTGAGTTGGTTTACACTCAAAAAACACTTAGAACACTAACAGTGGGTAAATACAAAGTCATTTCAGTCAAGGCGTTATGGAATTGAGAATAATTCTACAAAGCCTAGGTGTTCTCTTACGTTATAGCTAGTAAAGTTCTTGATTTTTCTAGGCAGGGCCAAAGTTTGTACCCTATTATTCGTTTTCAACTTCCTCTCCTATGCGGTTTCCACTCGTCAATTACAAGGCTACTTAGTTACGCAAGGTGATCGTTAATTGCCTTGTTTTGAACTTTTACACAGTTACGTTAATTTAAACATTAGAGAGTTTACGGTTCACGTATACAGCAAACGGCAAACGTCAGATTCGGTTCAGAATTTCTCAAAATAGAAAATGAGCAGATAAGAACAGATCAAAACAGATCTTATGGATGAAAAGTTGCGTGAAACTACTAATTTAGGTAGAGAAGTAATGAACAGTAAACGACAAATAAAGAGGAAACTTGGTCACGTGGTACAAATTCGCATTTGCGTTGACGTAAACGTGATGCTTAACCTCTCTATTAATTACGCAATGCTGGCCTGGAGGTGCTTCTGAACACAATGGAAGGAAGTACTCTCTTAAAATTTAATTTTCTTTCAGTATCATACCTGCAATAAATGAAACTTCTGTTTTGCTTTCCCCTCTTCAGGCGAGCTATCAGGAAATGTAATTTTAAGAAATGTTTAGACAGGTGAGTTAACAAAGAAAAAAAAGTTTTTTGAGACTCAATCACTGTATTTCAGTGACAGGCACTAAAATGTACAGATGGTATTTTTACTTTACACAGGGGTTCTTTTTAAATTCAGTTCTATGCCTGGCTAAATGGGATCCCTGTGTGTGTTGCCGGGTATAAAAATCACACTCTGAGACACTGAATGCACCCGCAATAAAAGAGTTGTTTTTAATGATAGATGTTTTTCCTTGTGTAGTTCCGAAGCATACGCATTAATTAAAAATAGTTTATTTCCCGTAGAATTAACATCCGTTTTTGAAGTACAAAGTTCAGTTTCACCTGTTACGTTCTTTCTTTATTCACTATTTACTTTGCTTGATGTGCATATTCTTAGATCATAAATGACGAGGACTTGAGAATTTCTAGCGTTGAGTTGGTATTAGTTTTTCCCATTGATCTGAGAATCAAAGTCATTGAAGCGATAAAACCATCTCTTGCGCCTTCTGAGGTTATTATTATTATTATTATTATTATTATTATTATTATTATTGATGCCTTGATGGTCAACTTTCTTAGCTCTAGGTATCAGGGATACTTGTTTATTAACAGAGAATATCGCTCAGGACTTTGCAATTTAGGCCACCATTTTCCACAATTTTGTTTTTAAGGGAAGTTGAAGTACGGAAGAGGGGTGCGACCAAATGGGCATTTCAAGAATTTTTTTTGCGCACTTACTCATAAAAGAAAAAAATACTTTAAGAAAAATTACTGAATGACAGTTACTTCCTTCCTTTTGCTTATTTAAGTTCTTACCTTTGGTCCACCAAATCAATTGATTTGAGCAATTTTAGAGGTTATACACACGCGTTTAGCTGTTTTCGCTGACCACTGAGTTCGTATTACTTTAGTTCGGTGCTGGAAACAGAAAAGATTCCATTGGCGGATTTACAATTGAAAAGTTGGGGGACATTACGTTATTAATTTTTGGCTGATCACAGTAAGTAACGGTTCACGGTAAAATCCACCGCTACGACGCGACCAGTTCAAGTCACAAATGAAAAAGGGTCAAGAATATTGTCGTTTTCCATTTGAATTTTATCTCTAGTTTAGTGGGGGAACTTTTTCCTTCACCAGATCCAGTTAATTACTACCTGAACGCAAATGGCCGTCTCGTGTTTGTCACACTTATAAACTAGCTTTACTAATACTTTTGCATGGCATGGAAGCTACAGTATTTGAGTCAGTAATATAAATCTGAATATCACCCGTTGATGAGCTTTGCGCACAGTTTCTTCCAACAGAAAAGAAAGAGCGATCAAAGTGCTTTTGCATTGTTTCTCTCGTCTAACACCCTTCCCCTGCACTCTGTAGAATTTTGAAGCAGTCTCATGCGATGTCCAGAGCGACGAAACCTTACGCCACAAAAACTTTCTTAGTCCTATAAACTAGGAGTAATCGGAGCTTATATAGTGCGTTCGATATGTTTGTTGAGGCGGAAGGGTGGTTGCGATGTAGATAAATATGATTATGGCATATTCTGAACGTAAGGGTTGCGTACAGCGAAACCTCTATTTAAACTGTGTATCATTTTACGAACGTTTTCAAAAGATATCCTATGGTTCGGTGTCCAGTGCTTTTAATCGGAGGAGACATTGGCCAGCGTCGGACGTGTAAATGGAACATTTTGTTTTACTGGCGCGAGTCACATGGCGCAGTTTCTCAAAGGCCGATTAGTTCTTAACCCGGGATTCTTTTTTCTTTCTTCAAAAACATTTCTTCGGATAATTTCCTCTGTTATTTTTAACAGCATCCAATCATCAACTTGTTGACAAAATGAATTACACTGAATTTACTGGTTTAAAAGCTTTCACATCTGAATTCAAACTTCGCACAAACCATATCAAAGCCTTCAATGGAACGTGTGTGCGACTCACGTCAATAACTTTTCCAGTAATTTGGTCGAGCGTGTTGATTTCAGTGACTCGACAGTGACGCCACTGTGGGCTGATTTATAAGTTTTTTAGAAATAAATAAGATAGAGTTAAAGTGTTCGTTTGTCCGGTGCCGAAAATATCACAAGTCATGCTCAAATGGCGCCGCCGAGCTTCACATCTCGGTAGATTTACTTTGTGGCACAACGGCTGCCGAGCTACACAACTCGTAAATTTACTTTGTGACAAAACGGCCGCCGAGCTACACAACTCGGTATATTTACTTTGTGGCACAACGGCCGCCGAGCTACACAACTCGGTAAATTTACTTTGTGGCATAACGGCCGCCGAACTAACCCCGGTTTGATACATGCACCAGTAGTCGCAGACAGTTTCCAAAGACAGTGACGAACCATGCTGAAAAATATGAAGGCTTAATCCAAAGTAAAATTTAACAGCAAACTCCTGAAAGATGAACGCTTTGGACGATTCAGCAATCACAGATCAATGTACGCTTTACGAAGATTCAGCAAACTTTTTAAAAGATGAACGCTTTACGAAGAATATCAGACCTTAGCAAACCTTTGAAAGATGAACGCCGAGGACACAAGAATCACCACATGAGTTAGCGCGTCAAAGTGAGGCAAAACTTAAGCAAGCGCCTCAAAGCGAGGCAATTGTGTGTCGACGACGAACGAAAATGAAATCTCAAAAAAACCTCCCTTATTAATTGAACAGGTCACCCAATAATGCACAGAACACCCAACACAAATTATGGGTTGCGTTCTCGTACGTCGAACGCAATTAGATCAAACACATTGCACCTTCTTACTCTTCATTCTGCTGCTGGTAAATATTTCACTAGGCCAGAAACGGAAATCTTTTCTTGTGTTTAGCGCTAATGTTTGGAGCTGACTTTGGAACTTGAACGAACTATTCGCGGATCGAGAGAAGTCGAAAGCAAATTTTTACAGAAACTATCAGGAGGGAAAATATGTAGCGTTCCGTATGGAAAAAAAATGACCAAAGCGATCACCAAATGCATGGGAGATGTACAAAATATACTGGCCAATATTTGATTTATCCGTGCTTTATTTGAGGATGGTGTTAACCGTTCGGTCAAAACAAACCAATCATGATTACACAAAAATGAAAACAAAAACAAACAAACAAGAGGGCTTGAAAGAACCCACACGCTTCTTTTGGAGACTACAACTATTTTCTGTTAAACTTGCGATATTTATTATCATCACTTGATGAAAAAGGGTGTCAGCAAATTCACTATTAGATTTTCCCCTGAATTCGAGCGTCTTCATTCTCTCGTTCGTTAATTTCCTAGGAGGATGATCGATCTCGCTTCAATCGCTTCGCAGGCGTCATTTCATCTTCGTTCCTAGGGTTTTCTCGCTCATCACATGACAATTTAACTCGAATGCTGAGACAAACAGAATATTTGTATACTACGCCAACTATTCATAAATCAAAGCTATTATTTTATTAATTTGCAAGCATGGCGATGGAAGAGCCGATTAAACTATTATAAGCCCGAAACCGGGAATTTCTAATATCAGAGAGTGGCGCCCATGTTGAACTCGCCCGCAAGGTATTAACCTGAGATCAGGCCCAATTTTAGCCGTCCTCATCATTGCAAAGCGAAACGAAAATTGAGCCTGATCTCAGGTTAGCAAAGTATCATTAATGCTGGTATCCTTTTAAATAAGTTGGTTGATTATTCAAAAAATAATGAAAAAAGATGGATAAATAAACTTGAAGCTCAACTCTCCCGAAAATTTGCAGGCCATGAAGTAAACGTAGTCTCTCAGCTCCCTGGTTTTGTTTACTAAGTCGTTCTTAATATCTACTAAAGTACGGCAAGGAAGAAGGCCTTAAAAATTTAACGCAACTGAGCTGACTCTTCCGGATACTAGACAATATATCAGGACCATAATTCTGACCTGTTCGAAAAGCTCATGATCATGATATGCATTTCACTTGATAATCGCTCATTATTTTTTATCTCACACAATAATGAGCATCAGCACATCACCGTACAACAACATAAACTTCCGCTTATTACTCCCCTCCCCCCCTCCCCCACTTATAAGGCTCCCCTGTTCAAGACCCATCTACGTGTAAAAAAAAATACATCCGGTTAAAAAAAAAAACCTTTAGCTTGTATTGGAGCAAAAAGAGTGAATTCAAAAAGTATTTCGATCAGTATCACTAGGTAGCTTGTTTTGAAACGCTTTTTTGCTTGTTCCGGTTATTAGCTAGCTCCTCCGAATATGAGAACTAAAAAAATTAATGATCACTCAATTTTCTTCTTTTTTTTTTCACTTTTTAGCAAATCAGCATGTTTTTGCTCATAACAATCCTCCTGATTCCAGCTGTTGCACCTCCGTCTGCACAAGGGCAGTTTCCTACGGCATGTAAAAATCGTTCAAGTCTGAAAAACAGAGAATGTTGTCCTGTACCACAAGGCTTCACCGCCCCTTGTGGTAGCGATGTATGGCCTAACCCTCTTTATACCAGAGTGTGCAAATGCAATGCGAACTTTGGTGGTTACGACTGCGGTGACTGTAAATTCGGCTATCATGGCACAAATTGTGACCAAAAGACAATCTTGAGGCGAAAAAATTTCCAGACAATGTCAGACGAGGAGAAAGACCGCTATATGCGATACGTCAACATGTCGAGGTATGAATCAGAACTGAGTTAATGAATAAAGAGAGCCCATAACTCACTTTTGGAAGTAGAACTCTATTTTACTTTATCCTTTTGCTTGGCCAAGTACAATAGGAAAGGCACTTAAAAAAGACGCAGATGACTGAAATTAAAAATATAAGAAGGGGGAATAGTTACAGGCAGTGACCATGAGCGACGTTACAGAGAAACGCAAGTCACAGTTATGGCGAACACCGAAAACAGGAAAAAATAGTTGTAACGTTGCACATGTTACAAGTGTTATCCAGTGCTAATAACCTTATGGAATGTGTTCTTCCGTTCCGTTTAGAGAGAAATTCGCCTACATCGTCTTCGGTAAGCCGTGAACTCTTTCATCATTAGTTCCTAAACCAAAACAGCTAGGCTGCCTCACCATCACGAAAAATTGAGGTTGCGATTGTATATTGGGGCATTATACCATTGTCTCAAGGTATATTGCTCGTATCTTTCAAATATAGTCAGCGCCTGGTGGGTACATATTAAATGAACAGTGATGAATAATAATTACAAAGAATGAATAACTGAACTGAACTGAAAGAATAAATCAGGATGTTCAAAGGGAGTATCCGAAAATGCAAAAATTTCGGTAATGTTAAAGATAACGTTATTATCGATTATTGTACGGGCTACAACTGTAGTTACGCAGTGCTTCAAAGGGTTCAATGCAAGGAATATAATCTCCAATTCATGTTATTATGTAATTCATGTATCTACTTCGCCCACGCCATTAAAATTGTTTGATATATTGTCATTTCCTCTTCGCACAATACACTTGTTTTCCGCAGGTTTGCTATCAGCGATTATATGGTGACGAAGGCTGCGTACGATGAAATACGGAATGAAAGTGACCACGGGGGAGACCCTACAGGACTTTTCTCCAACATCACGGTTCATAACTTGTTTGTTTGGATGCACTACTACTCAACAAGGTACACTTTTTTTCCAGATGAACGCGGTACCCAGTCTGGAATTGACGTTGCCCACGGAGGGCAAGGGATCGTCACTTGGCATCGATTGTACTTGTTGTTCTTCGACAGAAGCCTTCAAAAAATGACCCATGACAAAAGCTTTCCTGTGTCTTATTGGAAATGGACTAAAAATAAAGAAACCTGCACAATTTGTACTGAAAAGCATCTTGGCGTCACCAATGTGACCACAGGCAGAGTAACAGGAAAATATTTTACGTCTGGGAGTGTCATTTTCACCGAAGAGCAAACCCGAGGCATGACTCGGATGTGCAACTCGTCTGATAAAAAATAATGGCTAGGGCGTTTCAATTCCAAAGAAAAAAAGGTCTAGAAGATAGGGGGTCCGCTACTACCTTTCCAACTTTAGAAGATTTTAATTTTGCCCTGAAGTTTGAAACGTTCGACCTTCCACCCTACAGCACAGAGACGAGCTGCAGTTTTAGGAACATCTTGGAGGGCTTTGCAGGTAGCAAGATTGCCAAACGTTCACACCCTTCATAACCAAGTTCATATATATATGGGAGGTGACATGGGTGATGTTCCTTCAGCAGCTAACGACCCCATCTTCTACCTTCATCACTCGTTCATTGATATGATCTTTGAGAAATGGCTTCAAACTTATAAGCAGAATGCTACTGTTCTTTCACCCTACGATGCCCCACTTGGTCACAACAAAGGCGGTGTAATTATACCGATGTTCCCTGTGCACACCCACGAACATATGTTCAAGAGATCGCAAGAGTTTGAATATAGCTACGAAGGTATCGATGAAATAGGTACGTATATATACTCTAAAAGGTAAATGGAGAATACTTGACAGCTTGAAAGCACAGTTTCTGCAAAGAGAGTTGTTTTGATGGTGAGCTAACAGAAAATTGACACAATGAAATAAATAAATAATAATAGTAATTACAATTGAGAAAACTTTAGAAGGTCAAAATAAGAGCTGTGCCTATTGTTGTCGGTTCACTTGGGACAATCGTGAAAGAATTAGTAGGCAAGATTCAAAAGACTGCTTTATCAGGAACAGCACGACTCCTTCGACGGGTTCTCGAGCTAAGGTTGCAGGATGTGACTTTCACCGGGAACTGGTTACCAGTTGAATACTGAGAGTATATACATAATAATAATGATATTGATAAAAATAACGAGAAAGATGATGATGATGATGATGATGATGATGATGATGAAAGCGGGCGACAAGAGAAGCCCACAATCCTAATCTCCAGGTTGTTATTACGCATGCGTCGCATGTCGTATGTAGCCAGCATTCGTTTGGACTTACACTAAGAATGAATAAAATGCACATGGCGCAATTTGATCACGCGCATTTGCATCCTCAATCATTCGTAATCTGATCACGCGCGTTTTGACCATTTGTCACGTGCCACTTACGTAAAGCACAGCGTTGGAGCACAAGCGTTTTGACCTTTGATCGTTGTCGCCTGTACTCCGTAACCTTTGGTTGTTACTAGTGATAATAATAATTGAATGAGGCTGAGTGCGATCATGATCTGATTAATTAGGCAGATCTGAGAGGTTCTTGCCCAGTTCCTCTCGGTCAATTCACTTCAAGCTTTGACCCGCTTCAAATAATGAGGCCAAAGAACAAGGCAAGAGGGTCGATAACAACCTCTGAGTTCTGCATAATTCTATAGATCACTATAAAAAGCCGAATACGATGATTGCTTAACATGTCAGTACTATTTGTAGGGATGAATTGTTAACTCCAGTTTTCAACACAAAACCCTGGTGCGTATTTCGAAAACTTTTGTGGTGTATTGCACTGTTTAACGTTAATTCAAATCACACTAATTATTTAATAAAAGATTTAATAACTTAAACTTCTTATTCTCTGAAAAAAATTGTTATGTTTGTTAAAAAGCGTATAAATTTTCGTCTGAACTTTTTGACAAGATTTTTGGCAAATTTTTTCACAAAATTTTAAGTAGTTTTTCTTGAATTTTTTGGACGCTTGCTACCTAGCTATTGCATGGGGCGAGGTTATAGCAGCAACTTCTCTCAACGTTCTAAAGCCAATCTTTGAGTAAAATAATAATATAAATAAGTGTTAAGTATGCCGCTGAAAAGAAGGAGTTAGTAATTAATTTTGCTTACGTTTGATATTTATTCCAGGACCACCTCCTGGTGAAGGGTCTCTCCTGGTTTTTGTCCTGTAAGTGGTTCCAACTCTACTTCTCCGTGTCTATCTCCATCAGCAATTTTGCAGTCAAATTATGCAATTATCATTAATCTATGTGTTGCAGTGCCTCTACTTTTCTTTTTGCTAGTTGCAGTGCTAGTCTATTTTTATAAATCAAGGAGACCGATCTCTTCTCCGGTTACATATGAACACCGTGAGCTTCAAACTTCACAGCTGCAAACTTCACAGCAGTCAACTGCTGGTACTACTGATGACCATGATGACGGTGACAATGACCGAATGGAAGATCCGCTACTGATTTAGGAACTGAATATCAGAGTGATTTAGTGATTTTGATTGAATCTCGAAGAGTGGTTCGCGTTAGGTGTGTATTTAATTCAATTTAATTTAGTTATGTATTTAATAGCGCTCGTGTGATTCGCCACTTTCTCATCAAAAGCAATCCTGCTGGCTCGCAGCTGTTAGCATCGGTGAAACAAGTTTTCCTCAACGTCAAGATCTTATTGATCTGTCTTAATTTTTTTAGAGTAAAAATTTCTTTCATAAGAGTGAATATATGGGAATTCGTGTATCTGTATATCCGGAGAAATGTTTAACGCGTGAAAATGATCGCAGTTACATTGTATGTACGCAAACTATGAGTTTTCTTTTGACGATGTTTCGTGTATTAAGAACTTGTAAAGTTAACACCTCCTCTGATATCATGAAGGTCATGAACAAGCTCACCTTGTTCATGTTTGTTTACATCCGCAGACGAGGTACATTTTATCACCAAGCCTCATGTGATTGGGAACAACATTCTTCACAGTGACAACAATCCCCGGGAGGTACTTTAGGACTTTTTGGGTGGGGATGTGCCGCTGGGACCCTGGAACCCTTCCCTATACCAGAGCTAGTTCAAGTGAATTTTGCTACCCTATACTAGACTAAACTCCCCAAATCCCTCCCTATCCTAGATTAGCTGCTTTCCAGAAACAACTGAGGTCACTAGCACAGTCCAGCCAAAACAAAACCGATTTGATTTTTTTCATATTCTAGAGTGGCAATTCCCGGTTTCCCTCGTCTAGACTAAAATGTTCAGTTTATTGATCAGTTTAAATGAAAAATGATACCCTCTTCTAGACCCAAACTCTCTGATTTATATACCCTATCCCAGAGTAAACTGCTTGAAAACCATACCCTTCACAGCGGCACATATATGACAGTAGTCCCCCCACCCCCCGGGCAACAAACTTTGTGCCTGGGTATTCTTTTAAACTCTCTGGAAATGATTTCTGTAAAACATTGCAAATTTACAAATTCAAAACGAGGCCGGATTGGGGATAAAATTGACCAAAATTTGTATTTCTGACGTAAACATGCATTATGGCAAGTAAGTTTTTATTCCTTTTTCATTATTATTATTTTTAGACTTTCTTTTCGCTTCTTAAGTTGCATATATGACTGCCCAGATCTTCTTCTGATGTGCGCCATTTTTTTGGCAATGAAAGAAATACCAACCGGAGCAATGCAACGGCTTTACTCATATGTTGATAATGAATCCATCTTTCATGTATTAATTAACAATTAATGAATGAGGCTGAGTATCTTATGAATAATTTTCCATGGAGATCGAGGAGGGTGTTATCCGTCGAGGCCGCAGGCCGAGGCGGATAACACCCTCCGAGATCTCCATAATTCTTCATATGATACGAAAGCCGAATTCAATAGTTGTTTTATTATTCACTTAAAATAATTCCAAGTTTCAAAACATAGCTAAAACATGCTTACCTCCATCGATCCATCGATGTTAAGTTCATCTTCGAGAGTGAACGTTTGGGGTTGTTCAGCTCCGCAAATATTCTTCAAATCCCAGATGTCGCCCTTCGAGTTGTCTTCTTGCTGTTCTTGCCATGTTTTTAGCTATTATTTCGCCTAGTTCTTACTCTTGAAACGAGTGAAGTGTCCGCAACTTTTGTTTCCACAACCAAAACAACTCAACCTCGTCCCCAGGTCTTGAAAACCAGGTTAACGGTACATTAACCTGCAAAAACGCTGCATTTTTGACGTAATTTCCTCGCTAAACACAAAATTCTTCCAAATTTGGTCATCAGCAACTGGTTATGGTGAATTATGCTTGTGCTTTTAGCCAATCAGAATCGGGGAAATATTTTGAATGAATAATAATGTGTTTTAATTTACGACACTCAGTTGATATCTTACCTTATTTTAATCATTGCCATAGCTCACCTGAATTTCGGGAAAATGGGAAAGGTGTTAATAAGACGGAAAAATGAATTAACTAATAGGGCTTGGAATTAAATATGTTTTGTTCCCATTTTTCATTTTCCCATTCTTTGTGCTTGTCTCCCGTTTCACGTTTCCCCTCCCCGTTCCTCTTTCCTCGGTTTGGCTATATCCCAAGAGGGTAAGGCCAGTGCTCCTGGTAAGGCCTAATGTCGCAAGTCGTGGGTAACAATTATATTGGCTGAAGGTAAACAGGTTCAGTTGAGGTCGTCCTTTTTGTTAAAGCAACTAGCATCGTCACCCCACAGTTAGTAACTAATGGAACGAGTGACCTAAACTGACTTTAAAAACTTTAAACGCTAACACGTTGGCAGAAGAGAGCGAATTTAATCGCCCAATATTGCAAATAGAAGAGCACTGATTTACTTCTTCTTCGACGTGTTTTTGGCTGGCTCATCGATCGTCAAATATACGATAAATAAAAAAAAAATGAAAATGGCTGACCACTATCCAGTTACCCAAACTACATAAACTAAGACTCCTCAAAAACTCCAAATTTTCTCTTGTATTTGACATTGTTTTTTATTTGCCATCCTACTGTGGATTAATTCTCCTGATTCCTCAATAACTAGAACTAATTTCATTCTGTTCATCTGTTGACCCAGATTACTAAGCTGACATTTAATCCATTCCTGAGCCTTATCTGTATCTAACACCAACCGAGCAGTCTCGAATTAGGCTGTAAGTACATAGTAAGCGTGTTTTTTCAATTTGAGCACTCAGTTTCATTTAAGACCACTGACATTGACTCGTGTGTCGTCATCATCACCAAGTTTTGTCGCGCCAATGATACGTCCAATCAGAATCGCGATGTTTTTTCACATGTGAGAAAAATGATATGT